GGTGCTGCGCATGCGCATTGCGAATATTTATCCCTTACTACCTTTTTCTCTCGCACAGATGTGGCTTCACATTCAGCGCCCTATCCCCCTTCCATTTATATATGTTTTAAGCCCTAACCATACCCAGGTAGCAAGCTACGTCATTTTGACGTCAAATGACGTCTTTGTGACGTCAAATGACGTCATTTTGACGTCAGCTTGCTACCAGGGATACCGCATACAACAAAATGGAGCAAGATCAAGATTCTTTAGATTCTGCTAGATTCTTTCGTTTTATTCAAAAACGCGTTGAACTAGCCTAATTTTATTGATTTTTTAGATAAACTGTATAATTACAAAATATTCGACAATCATAACCTTATAATTTTTTGCGGTAATTATTCAGTTTAGCTACCACATCTCAAAAATCAATAAAATTAGGCTTATTCGACGCGTTTTTGCATGAAATGAAAGAATCTGGCAAAAAAAGTGTCGCTCTGCCTTGTGAGCTGAGATATTAAGCGTTAAAGTTGACGATTATTGAGGTTAGGAAATCTGTCAATGTCGCGAAATACTGCGATGCAAGCATGCATTGCGGTTACCTTTTTCATGCTCTGTGACAATTCAATAGTTTAAAAATAATTCACTGCTTTAAAAACAATCCTAGAAATAACCTTAAAAAATATGTTTTAAATGTTTTTATGATGTTTTTATCATCCAAGTGATTATTCCGCATCAAAATAATTGAATTTTGTAATAAATTCGCAATAAATAATTGAATTTTATAATAATAATATTCATATTCACATTCCGATGTTTGTTTATTCTTTTTCCCCTATGATTAATTATTTTATAAACTAGAAAAATTTAAAATACTGTTAATATTATTTCCAATTAAAAAATTTAAATTCAAACAATTTGATCAATTTAAAGAATTTCCTTTTTATTTTAACAATTTGCCTTTATATGTTACCTTTTACAAATAACTTATATATTATTATTATTTATCATTATTACTTATTTATTATTTCAAATATTATTACTTGAATTAAAATTCCCTTAAAATTAAATTTAAATTAATGTTTATAACGTGATATTAAATTAAATTTTCTATTTCAAAAATTTGCATACTATATCAGTATCATCAAAATAAATAAAAATAAATAAAAACACCCATTAACAAAAAAATTATCGTCCACTTTCTTGAGCGAACTTGGATCTTACGAATTATGAAGCAAGCACCTGACTCACGGAGCCAATCGCACTGTTTGGAAGTATTACTACCCGGAAGGCTCATATGGCTCGCCACGGCGCGCTTCAGATATGGCCAATTTTCATAAATTTATTACTCCGAAACTAAGGCTTATTCAATCAAACATCGAGACACGTATCTTTTTTTTCACTTCCAGAATAACTAAAAAAATTGGGGTCGAAATCCTAGGGTGAGTCATCTGGTCCTCCTCTTGTTAGATACGATCGAGCAGTCCATGCTCTTTGTCTTTGTGCTTAAATGTAGCTACCGGTTTCGTCAGACCGTCGTTTGATTCTGTGTCACTATCGTCAACGCGGAGTTCTTGGCTGAGTACTCAGGAGCCTTAATTAATTTCAACTGTATGTAAAATAATTACACATTTTGTACCAATCGCAAATTACAATTATATTGTACTGTAATTCTAATTCTACGATAATAATAATTTATTTTGTTTAATGTTAGTACTTCTCCTATGTATCACTATGGTTTTATTAATTAAAACAGTTACGATTTCTTTATAGGCACGTTCACCTACAACTATGCCTTATATCTCACAAACTAAACAAAATATTCAAAATACCAATGTTACTTCAAATGTTATGGAGTTTCGTAGCAATTATAACCATTTATAACAATATACGTATTATTTTATCAAGAAAATATGAATTCTGGATACCTGAAACTATTATAATGGAATTAGTTCATTTTTTCAAATCGTTTTCGTTCACCATCTTATTTCTTACAGCAAACTACATATGTCAATCTATTTACAATAAGGTACAGTAAAATTAAAACATTAATAATTATTTGTAACTATAATTATTTATAACTAGAATTAAAAGCACAAGCAACAATTTCGCAACATTAAAATTACAAATATCGAAGCCTTCTTCCAAATGACGCAATCTTTTGAGTACAAAATTTTCCGTTTTTTATTAAAAAAATTTTTATATTGCATAAAAACAATTTTAGATAAACGAGACAGTAGCAATTCTTCACAAATTGTCCAATTATAATCTCGATGAAGAGTTACATAACCTGGTAAATAATGATAAGATTTTATGTAGAATTTTAATTATTATATGCGTAATTTTACCAGCGCTCAGAATTAGAAGTTCGGGCATGTGCATAAATTTCATCGAATGATTATGTAAAAATTGGGACATTATAAAATAGCAATTGTATTATTCGTTTTTGTTATTTGATTTGTCAAGCATCCGTTTTCGTTTATTATAATTAAAACAGAGCAATTGTATTATCTATTTATGCACGTTAGAACATTAGGATACTTATTCACACATGCTAACGCCATAGGTAGGATGGGCTAGGAAGTTTTATGAATCATTTTTTATTTTATATGCAAAAGCGAATATTTGTAATTTATCGATTATACTATCAGTGTCTTACAAAATAAACACTATCCATTTTAGCACATAAAATTGAAAACATTTTATGAAACTTTTGCAATTAGTGTTATACGTACAAATAGTCTAAAACATGTATATAAAAGAATATATCTACTATTAGATTCAAAAATCAAATTCAAAATGCTGAATTGTATATACAATTTGAATTACTTTCAATCATTTTTATACATCGCCATTGATTTTTTTCAATATGCCGTTTACTCAACTAGAACTAAAATAATGGAGTTAAATGGTTTAACTCAAGAGAATATATTAAATTTAAAAATTAAATATTAATGCTAACATTATTTACTCTGAAACTGGAAATTGGATGGATTTTACACATATTGAAGTTAAATTGTTTATTAAAAATAACAAAATGTTATTTAACTTAAGGGATAGGATTGCTCCTTTGATATCTAACAATGTTATACATTTGATGTTTTATAACAGTGCCTTAATTTTTTACATAGTCGTTTAGAGCTTAAGCGTGTATCCGAACTTTCATGAAAGATAGTGTTATATATCTAACAAAAACATTTCAATTATTTTATTTAATTATTTAATTTCAAATAGATTTTACAATTTATATTGCAAATCAAATTCAGGAAGGTAAAATTTTGTGTGGGATATTACTGCTATGGATATAATTTCATTTACCAGGTACGTCCTATATTATTATAAATAAAATTATAATCATATGTAATAAAAGAATATATATATATAACAGAACAAACACTTCTACATTCAATCCTGCAAATTACATAAATATCTATAATAAACGACAACATTATATTAGAATCACTTTTAAATTAAATGCATTTGTTTATCTTTCATGGTAATTTTATGTGTATAAAAATCTTCTTTAATTCTTATAAATAATTTAACACAAATATTTTCATTAAGTATAATGAAAGTATAATATATTTTTTTCAGATGTTCGATACAGCTTTGACCTTCATGATAGTTTTAATACAGGTACAGAATCTATAACGCAATGCTACAAGAAAAATCTGTCAGAAGTGAGATATTACATTTCCTAAAGATTTTTGAAGGACGTTACAAACTTTTATGAGCAACAATTGCCCTCTTGTAAATCGATCGTATTTGTTGTTAGAAATCACACGGCAATACTATGGAAACAGTTTTCGCCTAGAGTCTTACTCCCATAAGTTGCAAGTAATCTGTCGGTATTTTAACTAGAGGTGCACCGGATATCCGGAAAATATCCGGTATCTGGTACTATCTGGCACTTGTTTACTATCCGACCGGATAGCTAGATATCATTAATATGCGGGAATATATCCAGTTGAAATTTGATATCATTAATTTTTCTAGAAATAAGTATGCATATTCACATGATGTTATAATATCTCATACATTGGTACAAAGTTACGATCTTTTTCTCTATAGGCTTTTTTCTTTTTTAAAAGACACTGTCTCAGAATTCCGGATATCCGGAAAATGTCGAATATCCGACTTGAAGAAGTTACCTTCTCGGATATTCGATCGGATACCGGATATCCGATATTCGGTATTCAGTAATTTTACGATTCGGTGCATCCCTAATTTTAATTGAACAAGTGTTGTCGAGCTATCTGAACGTAAACGAAATGTGATCGAAATCCTGGTTAAGTGTAATAAGCGTGATAACATTATAAAGTATTAGGAGATTTCATTTACTCGGTAAATATTTCAAAAAAGTATTATGTTTTCTCTTATTATGTTTCATCTTAGAGCCCTTGAGGTTCACTTCAAAAAATTATTTTATTAAAACACCTGAAAAATCTTTTAATGCTTCTGTTCTCTTTGGTGTCTTTTATTCTATTCTACATTATTTTTTTTAATCGAGAAATTTAACTGAATGCATTCCTCTGTTGGCGATGGCGCATACTATTCGACGATGCTGCATTTCTAATCAATTGACAGAAATATGGACTAAATATTGTGTGTGTGGATAACATTGTAAACATGGAATGTTACAAAAAATCTAAAATTCAAACAGCTATTACTTGATAAAAAATAGTCGTACTATCATGAACCGAAGTTCGTTTGAAAACTATTGAATTATATTTTCACGTGCCGCTCATTTTATTTAAAAATCAGTTTCCTTTTTGTTGCAAAATTTTGTTAATTTTGACCAAAAACATTATTTTTGCCTATTTCATTCCAATTTACTCAAAATCCTAATGTGCTGGGCTAATTCTGGCAATAGCATCGTGTTCAGTGCGAAAAAATCTTCAGGAAATATACTGTCACATTTCGGAAAGAAAATAAAAAAGTGATTTTTTGTCGCACTGTCCTCAGGATCACATGTTGATAGAAGCTTCTTTAAATGTTTGTTGAACATTAGATACGTATAGAAAACGTATATAAAACGTACGAGGTCTGTTCAAAAAGTATCGCGAATTTTGAATTTCCGCGGGTTACGTATATTCGATTTTCGATTTTTTTGTGGCGTTATGTTGGTACTCATGTCTCTCACTTATGCCGACAAGTTCGGCCATTTTGAATGTTCAGTTAATTTTTGACAGCTGCTTTGCTTGCACGTGTTTTGGTTCGTCTTCGATTTCTGCCTATTCCAAAAAATGGATCAAAGAATCTGTATCAAATTTTGTGTGAAAAACAAAATTAAATGCGCGGACGCATTCCGAATGTTGGCTGTGGCATATGGTGAAGCTACCTTGGACCGAAGCAACGTTTATCGGTGGTACAAAATGTTCTCAGAGGGCCGAGAAGATGTGAACGACGAAGAGCGTGCCGGACGCCCGAGCACGTCAACAACAGACGAAAACATTGATGAAGTGAAGAAAATAGTATTGGCCAATCGTCGAATCACCGTCAGAGAAGTTGCTGAGGACCTAAACATATCGATTGGCTCGTGCCATTCGATTTTTACCAATGATTTGGGCATGAGACGGGTCGCCGCGAAATTCGTGCCAAAATTGCTCAATTTCGACCAAAAACAGCATCGCATTAACATTGCTAAGGAGCTGTTGGACTCTGCCGCAGCCACCGTATTCCCCAGATTTGGCCCCCTGTGACTTTTTCTTGTTCCCGAATCTGAAGAGGCCCATGAAAGGACGACGCTACGCTACGATTGAGGAGATAAAGACGGCATCGAAGGAGGAGCTGAACAAGATCACAAAAAATGATTTTTTGAAGTGCTTCGAGGATTGGAAAAAACATTGGCACAAGTGTATAATATCTGATGGGGATTACTTTGAAGGGGACAAAATAGATATTCATGAATAAATAAATAATTTTTGAAAAAACACAAAATTCGCGATACTTTTTGAACAGACCTCGTATATGAATCAATAGATGCTAGGGATATAATACACCTTTTACTCTTTTTAATGCACAAGAAAATGATTTCATCAGGGAATGGAAGTAACTCGTTAATTATAACAAAGTTACAGTTACAAGTTGCTTTTTTGGTAACTTTACTGGTAACTGCGTTACTTTTTTCTTTGGTAACTGTAACGGTAAC